GTTTACATGGTCGTTAACTTCAGGGCCCGTGGGATTAGTCGTGGTGCGCGCAAACTGGCCCGGACACCCACGTTAATCTAAAAAAAAGGTGTTTGAATAAAAGATAATTTGTGCTTTTCTCAAGTAAAAAACATATTTTTATAGCTTTTAAAAATATGATTTATACATAAAAAAATATTATACCTTTGACAAAAGATTACACGCTAATCTCTCTCTTCACCGTGGAAAAACCTCTTTCTCCCATGAAATATACGTACCACTATTAAACATATTTATAATACTTGCATGTATTAATTAATAGGTTACATGATTAGAAAATATTTTTTTAATTATATTAATTTGAAAAATAATTTTGGTTATTGTGATAATGTGAGAAAAACTCAATTAATCACAGTTAAAAAAATAAATAACAATGGTTATCAAACTAAAGACTAAAGATAATAAAAGTAACTTGTCACCAGAATTTATCGTTCATGTAAAAAAATCACCTTGTATTTTTCTTAATCATCAAAATTTTCATTGGTTTCTATTATATAATAAGAAATAACTCTCACTAGCTCGTTGTATAATAATTAAATATTGTATAGTAATTAAATAATTAACGGTTAATGAAACTTAATTGAATAATGTATAAATAGTAAATGAGCCTTATTGATGATGTATATATTGCCCCAACTAATTGTTTACGAGAAGGCATTAGATGGTAGCGTGGAACTTTCGCTGTCAATACCATGGTTGCCGCTGCGAGAGTCAGAAGGCACTGGACCACCTTTACCCGGTCTTTATTTATTAATTCGATTTGGTCTTTTTAAATTCTCTCCACTTTCTTTATTTTTTTTATTTCATTTTTTAATAACAAATTCTCTCTACTTTCAACACAAGGCACCGGAGAAAAAATATATTGTAATAGTCTGCAATGAAAACATGCCCAAAGTTTCCAAGAATTGAACAGATCGTCACTTGATCATGTCATCAAGAAGGCTGACCTTGACTTGGGTATGTATTTAATTGATGACTATATATAATAATTGTAAAAAAAATCATTTAATTTAAATTACGATCACTTCAGCTATGTATTACGCACTCTGTGATGTCCTTCTACCATATTCTTCCACAATATGTCAGTTTCCTGTCTCGTTGAACGTAGAAAAATTAATCCTCAATGGTAGGAAATTAATATAATATATAGTTTATTATAGTAATACATATTCCAACAAAATCATAATTTGATGTTGGAAAATTGGTTTTTATACGACATATACTCATACTTAGAATTAAGATTTCATTAATTTGTCTAAGATTACAAACTTCTTTAATAGCTTATACAAAGGTTTCGTAGAAAGTAAAAATAAATAGTTTGCAGGGTATCAATGCTTTGAAAAGAAAAACGACCTATTCAATACAGGCTTTACATTAAAAACACAGGAGCACTTGGCTTGGCTTGGGTTTGGATTAATCTTAAAATAAGTACAATGATCATATGAATTCCTAGATTCATTGATGTGGGGATTGACAAAAATATGTTAAGATAAATTTTAAATGGGGTGGCCCCGTGCTCTTTAGGTGGCATATGTGAGGCTGCTTAATTTTCAAATGTTAGTTTCTATAATGATATTTGTTTTTTTCTTGGCATCACTTCCTAGGAGAGGTGGCAAGTGTGGTCGAAAGCTACCGGATTTGCCATTGAATGACTCTTTTTTTCCTTTTATTTTTCGTTAAAATTTTAAGGTTGTTCTTTTGGTTGAGTATATTTAAGTATCAGTTTTTATTATTTTGATTTTTTATTTTTTTATTTTTTATGCCTATCTTATAAGCTTTAATTTTTATTTTTATTTTAAGATTTGGTGGTTTAATTCTTCTTTTAGTTTTTTTTTTAATTGATATTTTTTTTCAAATTTAGGTCTTCAATCTAATATTATCCATCTTTTTTTATAAAAAAATTGATCCTTATTTTTTATTGTTATTTTTTTTAATTTTATTATTTGACATTTGATTTATTAAAATTTAAACTTCTTGATTTTTCAAATTTGATACTTCCAATCAAATGGTCTAGGTCTCTCGACCACAAGTTTTATAAGCTAACATAAATACATGTGATTTTCTTTATTTTTTTTATAGGGTTATTTATATTTCATGACATAGCAAGTAGATTTAGCGAGTTGATCCAAGTAGACTAGGGTCTTTTTTATATAGTTACTGAGCTTTAATTTTTATTTTTATTTTAAGATTTGGTGGTTTAATTCTTCTTTTAGTTTTTTTTTTTATTTATATTTTTTTTCAAATTTAGGTCTTCAATCTAATATTATCCATCTTTTTTTATAAAAAAATTGATCCTTATTTTTTATTGTTATTTTTTTTAATTTTATTATTTGACATTTGATTTATTAAAATTTAAACTTCTTGATTTTTCAAATTTGATACTTCCAATCAAATGGTCTAGGTCTCTCGACCACAAGTTTTATAAGCTAACATAAATACATGTGATTTTCTTTATTTTTTTTATAGGGTTATTCATATTTCATGACATAACATGTAGTTTTAGCGAGTTGATCCAAGTAGGCTAGGGTCTTTTTTTATAGTTACTATTTGTGTTTTATTTTGTATGTTTTTTTTTAATTTTATTTTTTAATATTTAATTAGTTAAAAATTAAACTTCAATATTTTTTAATATTTGTTATTTAAGGTCAAATGACTTAGTTCATTTGATTAGTTAATTTTATCTAAACTAAGTTGAGTGAATCGAAATTTATTTTGAATAACTTGTCAAATCCTAAAACTACACAAAACACTTCATTTAGAATCATATCATTTCTTTAAAAGAAAAGACTTTTTTATAAACACAACTGAGTTATTCTCTAGTATTATCAACTATATATTTTGGCAGATGATTCTATTTTAAGAAATTATATCAGATGTAGTGCATGTTTGTCACTATATTAGTTTTTATTTTTAAAATTATTTTTTAAGTTATTTTTTACTTAAATAATATTAGATTAATATTTTGATATGTGTTTTTTTTATAGTTTTGATATATTGATATTAAAGATAAAAAAATCTGAAATTATATATATATATATTACATTATCATAGTCTACCAATCATTAGAAAAAGTATATTTTTAAAGACAACACACATGGAATGATGTTTGTACTCTCACATGATGATGCATAGTTCTATCGAATTTTATTTACCTAATCTAGTTAATGGAGAGTTAATAGACTAACTTTATACAATAATAATTCTACTCTCCTTCGAGGATAGATGGTTTTGGTTGCCAAAGGAAAATTTGAAGGTAAAGCATATTTCTAAGACAATTTTTGGGTGCATTAAAATTAAGTTTTTTTTCTAAAATATTTTGAAAATGTACTTTCTATCGGTTTTATATATTTTATATATTTCTAACTTTAATGTTTAAATTCTAAAAATTAAAAAAAAAACAGTAAATATGGTGGACTGACGCATGAGAGAGCATTTTTCCGAACCTCTTACTGGTTATTTGGGAATGTGGGCTAATAATTGTGCTCCCAGTCCTCGTTATTGCAAGGATTATTACTCTGTTTGGGCCTCTAGGACCCTCTTCTTTCTGGAACAAAAGAAAGCCAGCCTTCTAAAAAGGAATTATTACTTTTGTTTTATTCTTTGTTTATTTTTATTAAAAAAAAAATAAGAATTGGAACTAACTTAATTAATGGATGCCTCCCTTCAATTTCTTCATCCATATTCGCAAAGTCTCTCTAACCGGCATAACAGCTGATAGTTGGGTTTTAAAATTCAAAAATAATAAAATAAAATTATTTAGAAGTTTTAAAACTATTATATAAATTTAGAGTTGTATAAAATTTACTTGAATATCTGATATTTTTCAGCTATAATTAAATTTTTAGGGCTTATTTAATTACCTAGTTTTCACCGATAATTCACATAAATAATCAATAAAAAATATTTTAAATTTTCT